GTTTTAGTTTCTTTGCAACTGGGAAATCTTTATGTTGAAATAATATTTGAAATTTCCTCTTTATAATGACATCAAAATATCCTAAATAAATTTACATACAATTAGGATTCAGACCAAACAGTAATGTATTTTTGTAACCAACAAGACAGATTAAGTCATATCTCTGGATAAGCTGATGATATCAGAATGATCCAGGTATCAAAATGTAGCTTTTAAAGCAGGAATCTGAAAACATGATTAGGTCATTTTGACCAGATTTGACTTAATCCTCATTTCGATATGATGGGTCACATATGTCCATTTAATGTAAGTGATTGAACCTGTTTATGGTTCGTTTTTGTTTTCTTTTTCTTTTCAAAATCAAACGAAAAAAATTAATCAGGTGGTTTTTCATTTTTTATTTTCAAAATTAAAAAAAAAAACCGTCAATAACAAAATAGAAATAAAGCTACATTTTTTAATGTTTAAAGAAGAGCTTTGTCGTTTGTTACTTTCTGGCAGAACTGGAAGTCGTAACGGCGTTACGTTTTCTCTGAGCACTTCAGAAACGGACAAAAGTCTCATTTAGAGGAAGTAGATCTTACTGTGAAGAAAATTGTTTTAATTTTCCAAGTTCTGCAGAATAAGGTTTAATTGCAGCCATTATCACTATCTTTAGGAATGGTKTCTGTTTTTAARCAGTCTTATTTCAGCCTCTATAAACTCTTATTCTTTCATGACTTCTGTGGTTTCCTGTATCGCTATAATAAAACAACCAWATGCTTGATTTTTGCGTTGCTTAGCTACATCCAAAGTAAAGCACTGTGGATTATTTATTAGCTCGATTTTACATTTTTACATTTAGATTTTGAAAACAGAAAAAAAAGAAAACAAAAAAACAATATGGTTGTTTTAATTTTGCACTTTTATTTTGAAATGAAAACAGTCCAGCTGCGTTGCTCTGACTCCAACAGGTGGGTTTTAGGTTAAAGTTACATTTCCTTTTGCTTTCAGCACAATTCTCAGTCTTCCAAAATGTGGAAAGGGGAAACCCGCGTTGGTCCGGAGAAACACTGTGGAYGATAAGAGCGAGCTCATCGCCTGCATCGAATCGGGGAACTTTGCTAAAGCTGCACGAATCGCTGCAGGTAACACAAATATATTCTATACGTGCATGGACGGACGTGTAGAACTGAAAACAACTTGCATGAAAGGTGTGAAGAAATGRCGTCACAACTGTTGTGTTAAAACGGTAGAACTTGCAGACATTTGGTTTTGATACAAGTGTAACCGTAGGGTTGGAAATGAGCCTGAGTTTTTATTCTCCACCTGCACCGCTGTAAACTCTCTGCTGCTCTAAAACTCATATTTGTGACCTGATATCAAACTTATCCAGAGATATGACTTAATTTGTCTTGTTGGTTATGATAATACATTATCGTTTGGTCTGAATCCTAATTTTATATAAATTTATTGAGTAATTTTTGATGTCAATATAAAGAGGAAATCTCAAATAGTATTTGTATATTAAGGTTTCCCAGTTGGAAAAAAACTAAAACATTACTTACAGAGAAAAATTCTGAATTTTAATGCGTTTTTCCTCAAAATCAGTTTTTTTTTTTGTTGCTATTGCTCAAAAAAATGCTTCTAAATATTTTAAGGATTATAATTCAGACAGTTCATTGAAATGAGACATTGATAACACATTTTTTTTATATTTTGACAAACTGTAATTTTTGCAAGTGTTTTCAAAACACTATATC